GGGGGGGGGAGAAAAGGAGAGATGACGCGAAAGGAGAGAGGAGAGGGACACGAAGAAGAAAACGAAGAAGGGAGAAAAGCAGGTAGCAAGCGAGAAGTTAATGGAGAAAGAGGCATTTTTGGGATTGCATTCAGCAAGCAAATATTTTATCTTCTACCCTTTTTTTTTTAACGAGATCATTAGCTGGGCGGTAGTGTTTGCTTGTTTGTTTGATAACTCGGGGAACAAATTGGACTAGCTGTCTGAAAATTTTAGGGTCGTGAACATTTTGATAAATCAGTCACCGTTTTTTCGCAAGAGAGGCATTTTTTAAAGAAAATAAACTGGACATGACCACCTTGTACCGGGTGAATCCGAGCGGACGCTGCAGTACAGTATAGTGGGATTGCTTAACCTCTTGGACCATAGCGGCTGTAGCACATTACCGGCTTAGTAGGCAAACCCGCAACACTGCGGAATAATTTCAAGTCAGATCAGAGGCTCAAAACTATCCTCTTTTGTTTTCGTATCCGTGCTGCTCCCCTCCCCCCTTTCTCCCTGAATCAGCGCAATCCAACGCCAATCATTGTTTTACCGGAGCATACAGATGCAATCCATCATTGGATCAAATACGATCAAATATTTTCCAAAACCAGTTAATAACAATCAAAATATTGCAATTCTTTTATTTTTATTATTTTGATCTTTCAGCATGTGCGATGAGGTAGATTCACAAATGGTCGAGTCGAATATTTTTTTTTTAAACAAACACACATTATTAGGTAAATACATTCAGGGGATGCAACAAGTTACAGACAACAATTTGGTATGTGTACTGGTAAAACAAAATATAGAAGGTTGGACAATCGCGAAACGCAATAGCTTAACGTACCGGGTGTAACTATGAATAATGCGCAGCAGTGTTGCGGGATTGCATACCCGCCAGGGCTTCAGGGGCCATGGCGCCTTACGGGCGAATTGGGTAGGCAAACCCGCAACACTGCTGCGCATTCACAGTAACAGCCGGTACAAGGTATCATTCTACAAAAAAATAAAAATAAATCGATATTCGCGACCAGCGCCAGTTTATAATATCTTTTAAAAACGAATACTGCACTAAGTTCTATATCAGACGCGAGGAGTGACTTGCATGCGGAAACCGTTTTTCGCCTTAGGGAAGATGGCCGTTCCGTCAAGTTCGACCTCAGACTCGAAGCTGGGCCCGGGAGTAAACACGAAGTCTCGGATAAGAAGCGCGAGGGCGAGCTTCATCTCCAGCAGCGCGAAACGCTCGGCGATGCAGATCCTGGGGCCCTCGCCGAAGGGCTGGAAGGCGTAGGGGTGCCTCGCGTCCTTGGCCTCGCGGGTATGGCGGTCCGGGTCGAAGCGCTGCGGCTCCGGGAACTGGTTCTCATCCATGGACGCCATTTGCGTCAAAATGAAGACCATCTGCCCCTTCTCGACGCGGACGTCGCCCACCTGAGTGGTGGCGTTGCACTTGCGGACGTTGACTCCAATAGGGTTCCACAGTCGCAGCGCCTCCAGAACAATGCGGTTCAGCAAGTCCATTTTCTGGAGGGCCTCGTAGGACAAATCGCCGTCGTGCTGGCGCAGCACCTCTCGCACCTCGTCGACTAGCTTCTGTTGCAGGGCCGGGTCGGCACACACCTTGTTCAACGCGAACGAAATCGTGTTGGACACGTTTTCCAGGCCGGCGATGAAGAAGATGAAGCCCTGAGCGGCCATCACGCCGTGGGTCAGCTTTATGTGGTTCTCCGGATCCGCGTTGTACAGGTCGGCATTTCGCAACTGCATCATGAGCTGCACAAAGTCGTTGCGCTCCACGTTGTTCTTCTCGCGGTACTCGACAGTTTCCTTCACCAAGTCGACAAAGAAGAGATGCACCTTGGAGAAGATCCACTTCATGGGAAGGAGGAGGACCAATTTAGGGTGAATTCCCTCCAGGAAGAAACGAAGGAACTGGAAAATCGACGGTCTGAACAACTTTTTAGACATTTCGTGAAATTCGTTATGTTGATCACGAAGACAGTTGCACTGGATGCCAAACGCGACCGACCCGATGACGTCGGTGGCGAAGCGAGAGAGCAGCGCGCTGATCTCCACCTCGTGGGTGTCCGTCTTCTTGGCCTCGACGGCGACCTGGGCGTTGAGCTCGGCGCCAATGTCCCGCATGAGGGGGAACATGAGCTTGAGCTTGCCCGACGTGAAGGAGGGGCTGAGCCTGTTGCGCAGGTTGCGCCACTTGGTGCCGCTCAGGCTGAACAGGTGCTGGCTCAGAGGGTCGTGCTCGCTCGCCTCGAGCCCGCGATCATGGAAGCTGCTGAAGTCCTTGCAGACGATCTGCTTCATCATTTCGGGGTCCCACACCAGGAGCAGCGGCGTGCCGAGCCGGTACACCCCGCAGTAGCCGTTCTCTTTGAAGGGGAGCGCCATCTCCTGCAGAGCCATGGAGAAGCTCTTCTTGCCGGTGATCATGAAGCCAAAGTTGCCGACGAAGGGGACTGGCTTGGCGAACGGTACTCCCCTCTTCCTCCAGTAGTTGAAGCGGTGATTGAAGTACAGGTACATCGTCACCAACACGGTGGCGGCTGCCGCGAGGACAGTCGTGGTCTCCATGCTGTGTTTGTTATCCACGCAGTGAACTGGCCTCCGAGCGCTGAGCCTCCTGCTATATACAAGCTTTATTTTCGCTCCCGCCCG